AAGGAGCGACACAAAGCATATGTACTGAAGTTCTTATCCAGATGTGGGATAAGAAAACATCAATTTTTGCGATGTAGTCGTGATCCATTCGACCGCTAATCTGCCCGAGCTTCCTAAGATGGTCGGTGTCTGTGGAAATACGATAAATTGGTAATTCTATCGCATCACCGGTAAAAGAAGTTATTAGACCGCTAAACTATCCCAGTATCCAAGCATGGTAGATGTTTACGCTGAGGGCTGATAATAAGCAGCCCAAGTAATTGTATTAGTTATCCAAAGGTCATTCGGCTGCTAGACTTTGTTAGTTCTAGAAAAATGATGTTTATTGGTATTCGAGCTATGAGAAATTACTGCTTTATCATCTGATTTCCTTAATACCATCAGTAAAATCATTTGAAAGCAGTATGTTACTCAATACAACAGCCCGGCTATACTCTGCTTCACAGGAGCCTATGTTGACATGCGCGCGATAGCGGGCGGAGCAAAACTGGTATTAGTGTATTAGTGAGAGAATTACTTACAAGAATACAATCATTGTTAGCCTAATTGTAAGCCTTACTATCAACTACTTTCGCTCTCTGTTGTGTCCCTTGTCCCACACCATATACTCATATGAGTGCAAACCCTCAACTGTCAACGCGAACAGCGTAATGAAATTAGTAGAATCAACATTTCGACGTCCGTCATCAGCCCCTATCAGTAGTTATCACTTCCCGCCGCCCATCATCAGTGTTACCATTCTGCCGATTATATGTAGTAGGATAGGATGGGAGGCGGTCATATGGCGCGATCCCATTGGCATTAGAGCGCACAGGCCGCAATTGCCCCATCCTGCTGCGGCCGGACAACTCGTCCGTATCACTCAACTACTAGACTTCAGTAATTGATCGATCTGATAATTTGGGTCTCAAAAATCTCGCTGAGTCCCAAAGATCTAAAAAAGAGCGGATAGCTTCGCTGGCCTGATGCCAAGGCAAGAGGAACGGAACAGAATGTGTTGCGCGGTTGTCCGGCCACAGCAGGTCGTGGTAGTTACGGCCTGTGCGCTCCATGCCAATGGGATATGACGCGCACCCGGCTAGGATAGATTAATTGCACGGACGCCTAATCCTACCCTCCCCTTCAAAAAGCCAGAAAGTGTCGGGTGCAGACCATACACCACAGAGGCGACGGCCTCGAGAAAATGCAAATATTTTTGCTAGTGAAATGATTAACTCGCTACTTCACTTGAAGGCCGTCGTCAGTTGTGGTGTTTGGTCTGCACCCGATACCTTCTGGTTTTTTGAAAGGGAGGGTACCATCGGTAAACTCTGTACCATCGTAAACTCTGAACGCTGCTTTACACGCCCGTCACCCCCAATAACATGTGCAATTCGGAATCGATATCAGGGGAGTTCATTCTTTAAAGAGCGCGACAAATTAGTGGACTGAGCGTGAAAGGAGGCATACCTTAACACGCCACAACAACGTGGTCAAAACAACAAGGTGGTGAAAATTCAAGGGTGCGAGTGGGTAATAAAACGTCCAGAATCTATTTTTGCCAACACAAAAATTTAGAAGTAATCAATTATATAAAACATCGGGCTATTTGTTTCTTCATCGAGTCGATGAAGCGCTGAAGGTGTTCAACGCATAATTCATTCCAAATTCCAAACTTTTCTTCTGGAGGTCATCGAACCTTTTCCACTTTGATTCCAACTTTTTAATAAGTACACAAACTACAGGAGTTTAATGGATCCGAATTTCGACTCATAGGAGGTCACAAATCCATCACCAAAAAAGAGTCGATACAAGTCTCGAGGGAGTGAATCGTTGTATTGGTCCACGGGCCGTAGCTCATCCCTATTGAAAGATTATGGTGATTTTGCTCCCAAGGGGCCATAGTTTACTTGAGGATCTCTTCTTAGTAGCTGTTCCCATTCATTTTCACCTAGCATCAAAAAAACCTATGAAGGCATCGAAGCATTGATGTAGCCCAAAAAAATCATCAAACTTCCAAAGAACAAAATACTAGGGGTATTCTCACAAATCTTCCTAAGAGCTGGGCTACAAAGCGGAAGGTGACTCTTAAAGTTTTTAGCCGCTCGGAGGCTGAACTTCTTTTTTCGTGGAATCACCAGATCTCACGGAATCGCCGCCTCAGAAAATCCAGTAACCTCTCAAACTTTCCTTTCCGTCTTGCTTTGTCTGAACTTCCGAAAATGGCCTGTTTGACAGGCGATAACCTCCAGCTCCATTCCTAATTTTTGTTATCATGTCATTTGAAGTTGAACAGTTATTTGAGGAGTTCCGAATTGTTTAGCACTCTTTTCCAAGCTCCGGTTATTTTTAGTCATTCCTCTTTTCCATAATTCTCCGCACCCATCGGTGTTGGTACTCCGCTCCCGTTCTCCTGCGGGTTTGGTCAAAACCTGATTCCCCTCTCTCCACTGCTTTGCATTTTTGAATACTCGTAGAGAGACTGCAGCTGAAGAAAGTGTTGAGCTCTCACTCTAGCTCTCTAGTGGGGAGCTCCGCTTCTCCAGAACCCAACACGCTCGATCCGTCGTTTGTTCGCTGGAATTGAGATTGCTCTTACTCGGCTCACTTGAAAAATACTGTCAGCAAATAACATATTTCCATTTTCAATGAAGTTCCGCTTTCCAGCGATGGCTGCAAAAGCAAGCGCAGATGCCACTGCCAGCAAGTGAGTTCCCTCTCTATGATTGTTTCCCTGGAGAAACTTGGTCGAGAATACTTTGCTAACATAACTTAAAAACTGCAAAATTTTCTGGGACTGAAGTGGATGGGTTATCTGTTTGGCAACTTCGTTATCCCATACATAGTATATAATGCGCTATGTATGTCTGTGCGTGTGTTTGGTGGTGTGTGCATCTGTTTGTCACAAAATTCACAGCGCGCTGCACCAGTGGAGCGCTGTATTTTAAGTATGTTGTAGGGGGTAGGACGGGAACATTTGGTGGGGAAAGTGATAACGACTGATAAGATCCGATAAGAGGCGCCAAAACGCCAATTCCACGATATCCATAGCTCGCCTTCCAGCATCAGTGGGGCGTTGGTTCCAAGAAATGATGTCAAGGGTAGGACACCCACTTTTCCCCCAAGAACAACCGTCAAGCGGGCAAGGAGGTAAAAATGCCTGAAGAAAGCAAATGCTGAGTTCTCTAATTCTCCTTATTTCGCGTTTCTTCCCCGAACCTCAAAATCTTGCAAAAACGACCTATCTCTCCTCATCATTGCAAGACACTTCCAACTTTCACCAGCACCACCCCATTTAGAATCTCGAATAAGACTCCCATTGTTACCATCTCTAATACACAGAAGCATACGACTCCCTGCATAGGGATGCAGTTGTTGATGAATGCTTTACGGCAGAAATTCTTTAAGGTGCCTTTCCATAAACAGAAGCAGGCCCTCCTTCACTGCCCCACCGTCTTCAGAATATGACGTCATCTGCCGTCACCGTCGAGCTCAACGAGGCCTTACCGTAATCGCGGCCTGAAGCTGCTACATAATTTCTTCAATCGGTTAACTGGTGAATAGCTTCTCAGAGACACTAGCTGTGACTATGCAAACCGCTTTTGACCAGCGTTTCAGGGACGTCGTAATGGTCTATGGTACCTCGACGACCTCGTTGAGCTCGTACCGTGAACCATGTTTCCGTGGGAAAATCTTCTGATGTCGTCGGTGTAGAAGGCTGTTATGTAACTTTTTATAGATTAAATGTGCTCTTCATAATTCAGTTGGGCTCATTTGGTTTGGTTTCGCAACGTAAATTAATTTTCGTTTTGAATGTGGAGGGAAAGTGACTTTTTTTGCCCTCCCACTGCCTCCTGCTACAGTGAAACCCTTCAATGTGGAGCGGGGTTCCGTGAGCCAGGGGCAGTGTAGCCAGTCTAGGGGGGTGGGGGTGAGGGCAGTCACTTGACATGCGTGAGAAGCTGGAATGTTCGAATCCAACCGCGATCGCTTGGGATCCCCGCGGGTTGAAGGCAGTGGGTCCCGCAACGAATGGCGCCCTATACTAGTCAGTAGGAGTACAAAATGATTACTCCCTCTGTACATACCAAACGCTCGAATGCCAGTCGAGGTTCACAGAACCCATAGTTCGAATCCAGTCGTGATTCACAACACCCTCCAGCACACGTACGTAAGTTTTATTGATTTTGTCAGATAGTTTATTTTACATTGCAGGGCATTTGGTTCTGATGGTACAGGGCCAACTTACATAGAGATCATCGTGGATTGTACTATCGGATTTTTGGTGATTATTATATTTGTTGTTCTCTTTGCAACGATTGTCGTTAGAAGGCGACGTGAAGAAGCAGCGAAACTGAAGAGCAAGTTAGATAAGAAAAACAAAAAGAAAAAGAAAAAGAAAAAGAAGAAGGTGATAGACAGCAAAAAAAGCGAAAAAGTACCATCAAGCCCCGCTCACGGAGCAGATGTTTCACCTCACAAAGACACTGATGGTCCGGCCCGCAAAGGAAGTGATAATCGACCTCGCGAAGACCATACTCCTGATTCTCGACCTCGCGAGGATAGTACTCTTCCTGATACTCGACCGCGCGAGGACAGTACACCTCCGGATGCAGCAAAACCAGATGGTGGTGGCGGAGGTGCTGGAGCTCCTTCTAACGGCGGTAGGATGGTATGCGATATTGGTTGGTAATAAATGTTTAATATTTCTGAGACAGTGATTTTTCTAGGATGCCGGGAAATCGCCGATATTGGTCAGCCAACAGCGTGAGGAAAGCAAAGGGGTAATTTTTGATTAAACCAACCAATATGTATAAGGTCTGTGTCGTGTGGAAGTCAAGATGTGATCCAGGGGCAAATTACGCCGGCAGCACACGTGTGAAGTGGCAGCAGATTCATAAGGAAGGGTGAAAGCACTCTTCTGTACAACACCCGACCCCAGTAAATAATGCATAGGCCGAAGCTCATGGTCTCAGGTTTCCGAACAGAGAAATGGCGTCTCATGTTTCTCGCATCTCTTCTGGCATTTAACCCTTTTTTCCTATTCTCCTGACCCATGGCTGCAAGATAGATCTAATTCAGCCGCCTTCCATTGTAGCATCTCTCTCCAACACTTGGTAGCAAGTTCCTTGGGAAGCCCCTCTTGAAGCTTATCAGATGCTAATTTGAGGCAGAGATTTCAGCGATTGAGCTGAAAAGGCAGTCCATTAGAAATTAAGGTGGAGGTGGACAGCGGTACAGTGGCAAAGAAAAACAATGGGAAACGGCTCAGAGCCAGAGAAATGAACCTCTTTTCTGCCTGTCGATTTCCGCACTGATACTGCTCTCATCGGTGCTGCCCTCTTCAACGCTAATGCTCTTTCTC